GGAAAGAGTACAAATAAAGTAGAAACGAGCACTCCCACCTCCCAGAAGACAAACCATGTGAAAGGTCCAGATTAGGATCTTTTTACCCACAAATGTTCAAGAGCTTCCATAGCACAGTTTATCCCTAAATTTTAAATCCAAGTGTTAGACTGCCTTGTAATTTACTTTCTTTATATTTTGTTCTTTATTTACTTTCTTTATATTTTGTTCTTTATTCTCTCTTTCTATTAATCATTTTTCTTTTATCTCTCTTTTTTTCCCCCTCTTTGGAACAGAATGAGACAGTTATCTAGTACTCAAAGAAGAGCATAAATATGATGCAAATCCCAGTGACAACCACAAGCAAAGCACAAATCCCAACTCAGGGGCTCAAGAGTTCTGGGTAAGTCAGTTGTATGGTACATCTTCCACACAACCCCTTGAATTTGTGAAAGGACTTATGTTAAATTAGAAGAAAGTGGAAGAGGGACTATTTAATTTTGCTTTTAAGTATTTTAAGCCAATTTCAAATTTTAGCCCACATGTTGTAAAATCATTGGATAATTTTTTTTTTCATTAGTACGAAGAAGCAATGTTTCTAATATTTTCTACCTTATATTCTGTCTTAAAAAATTTTAAGCCAGGACCAGCAGATGACATAATGTTTATGTTGCTGGACTCCCACATAGGCGACTTGCCGTTTGAACGTCGGACCTGGCAGCTTTAAACTCACACCAGGTGCATGTGCACGCATGCCTAAAATCCCAAGAGGAGAATGGAGGAGAAGGGTTTGCAGCATTGCCATCTCCCTTGGGGGGTGATTTCTCGCTTTGTGTTGCTCTATCTCTCTGGAGAGCATATGCTCCCAATAGCAAAAATCTCTCTTTAAAAAGGAAAAGTTTTAAGCCAGGTACACTAGTGTGCCTGTAGTTCCAGCTACTCAGGGGCTGAAGCAGAAGGATCAAGAGTTTGCAGCTAGTTGGGCATCATAGTGAGAGTCTGTCTGAAAAAGCTAGACGTGGTGGTGTGTGCCCGTGGTCCCAGAGACATGGAAGTCCAAGGCAGAAAGATAGCAAACACAGAGAGTCTGTCTGTGAATAAAAGGTTTCCAGTAACAATAAGTTAACTTTTAAGTTTAACCAGCTGGAATGATCAGTTCTAAAACCTGAATATACAGTTAGAAAATTACTTAAGATTATTAATGGAACACATACAGCAATTACTTATTTTAATAGAGAAGTTAGCAAGATTTAGTTACCACCTAATGTACTTTTCTCCTAAACGTATAGTGGTACTTATTGTTCTTCTTCTAGATTCTCACACAAGAAATGATAATTTCTCCATAAATTATCAAAGAACTTTTGATTTTGAGGAAATTTAGAAATCAGTCTATGCAAACTTCCACTTCCCAATGTAGTGATACGTTTGCCTACATTGCTTTCTTCATTATTTAATTGAGCTTTTTACAGTTTTCAGAAGCCGTGACATGCATTATACCTTTCTTTTAGGTAATATCATTGTGGAGGGTGAAGCAGTGCAGAAACTGTTTGCTGACTTTTATACAAGAAAAGTTGGGGGGCACTGATGGAGATCCTTGGCCCCCAAAGTCTTCCCAGTACGAGTACCTTAGACCAAATTAAATACCAACCAAGGTCATATTTGCCTGCAATCTATATTTCCTAAACACACGTTTCTCCTAGAAATTTCTGCATATTCTGGAAAAGTTTTCTGAGCACTTTCATCAGTTTTAGTGATAGTTCCATCATGGATCAAACACAGTTTATCAACTTTACCATAGGCATGAAGGATGGAGGGCCCTCATTTTATTTATTTAGCTGCTGGAGTGGGAAACCTCCTTGTTGTAGAAAAATGGTGCCTTCTAGCCGGTTTCCCTCATTCAGAGAGTGGGAAAATACAGAAGCATCCCCCATTCTGCTTACTTGGTTGCTAGGATCATCTTTTTTCTTGCTGTCTGTTCTTTCTGTTCCATATGTTGTCTGGCAAGATGTTCTCCCACTGCTTTGGCTGGAAACTCTGTTTCACAAGTGTAGCCAAAATCCCGGGCCAAGTGCAAAGCCTCCCCTGTTGACAGACAACACAGTCAGTTTTTTTTCCTTTTTTTTTTTTTTTAACCAATAACTACCTTCATAATAGTAATACCTTACATTTTCCTTAAGCTTCACTCCTAGTTGTATTCAGAGGGAACAAAGTGACTTACCAGACAAGGATACGTGGAAAATCAATCAGAAAAAAGTCAGAAATACAGTTGAGGTGTTTGACTCCACTCATGACTCTGGCCATTAGGCCACACTAACTGCCGAGACTCTACAAATTAATTCTGAAGGTGGGGGAAAATTGATGAACAAGTCATTTTGTTACTGCTCAACCTACAACCTATTCTCAGTATAGCTGAACTATCCAGATGCCCTATCCATAAGACCTGTTGAAATACCTGGCAAAGGGTCTCAACAATTTTTCAAAGAAGTTAGAGCACTTTGGAAAGCAAAAATAAATTAATTATATCTATTCTATTAGATTGCACTGCTAAAGATAGTGTATTATGTTGGGGCTTCCTGGTGGAGTGGAGGTTAAGACGCTGGGCTCCCACATGACTGATCACAGTTTGAGTCCTGGACCTGGTGGCTTGCTTTCTCTTTTTCTCTTTCTGTCTCTGGTCTAATTAAAAAATAATAATAACAAATGAAATTAAAATAAATAATTATTTTTAAAAATATAGTACATTGTGTGAATATAGAAATAGCATTATCAGGCCTTATGGAAAGTTTTAGTATCTTATAGCGCTATGTACACCTCTTAAGTACATTCTGACACTATGTACAATGATTAAGTATCATAAAATCATAAATCAAGTTTTTTTCTTTTACAAAATCTTAATCATGAGTAACTTTTCAAGCAATGAAATAAAAAAGGGGTATCAGCAACCTAAGATTTAGTGATGGAAATTCAATCTGGAAAACTATGGTTAGTACTTTAAAAGCTTAATCAAGCCAAACCTTAACCTAGCCACTAAATTAAAATTAAGCTGTCATTATACATATTAAATACCCACTTTGTTAAAGGCATAGTGCTTGGTTGGAGTAATGGGGAACATAACAGGCAACAAAGATGACCGTATCTCTAAGAAGAGGGCAGTCATAGAGAACTAGTAGCAATAATAACAATAACAACCAACAAAATACCTTGACAGTGCAGAGGAGGAAGAGGAACAGTTTACATACATACAAAATAGTCTAGTTAATATCAATGAAAATACACTTAATAAAGATGTTTTTCTAGAAAAAAGTATTCATTTTCAAATTGGGAACTTTATATTTACAAAGAATGACAGAGAAAATTAGCAACAGAAAATGAGAAGACATTTTAGCATGGTGTAAAGCTGAGAAAATAAAATCTGAGAGTAATTTTTTAAAAAAATTATTCTTGCCTTTTTTAACAACTAAATGTCCTTTAAAAATGTAAATCTATTCTTAAGGATTTTTTCCAAACATGTTATTATGAAAAATTTCACACATAGTGCAAAGTTGAAAGAATTTTAAGAATTTCACACATATTTCAAAGTTGAAAGAATATGGGTGACTACCCATATGCCAATCCTTCCTATAAAACCCAACTTGATGCTTTATCATGTATCATTTGTCTTTATATACCTCTGTCCATCATCAGTGCGTTGTGTTTTTTAATTCACTTCACAGTATCTTATAAACTGCAGTGTACATCTCCCTAAACATATCAGCATGCATTATTATTAACTGGGGTTCGGTATTTGTTTATTGTTTTTTTCTCCACTGACACAGTATCTCAAAAGTTTTCCTGATATACATTAAGGAAAGGAATGAAAGTAAGATCCCAGGCCAGCTAGTGACATGGTAGTTAAGGCAGCTGGATTCCCACATGGCCAACACTATGGTTTGAGTCTCCAGTGTAGTGGCTTGAAAAACATGCCAGGTGTGGGCGCATGTGTGCCCAGAATCCTAAGAGGGGAAGGGAAGGAGAGAATTTCAGTATGGCCATCCTCCCTGGGGAGTGCTTTCATACTTTCCTCCTCTGTCTCTTTATCTCTTCAGGAAGTGCACACGCCTTATAGCAAATTACAAAAAAAATAAAAAAGTAAGATCCCTTTAATGGTTACTTATTTGAATGATTTATGCATAATGACTAAAAAAGAACTGGGATGCTTGATTTCTTTTTTTATTTCCCAGAATAGCACATTTAAACAATGGAAATGTACAGTGTGACTAATACGTAAATATTAGCTAATATCCTACTTCGAATTTTCAGTGTGTGCAAATATTAACCAAGCATTGATATTAGACTCTTGCATGTATTCCAAGTATGTTTACTTTTTATTTAAGTTAGCAACAGACACTAATGATACCATTCATTTGTCCTTAATTCATTTATGGCACAACCATTTCTTTCATTCCCACGTATGAGAAGTCCTATTCCATCCTTTGGCAAGAGTCTAAATTAATGTAAAAAAATTGCAATGAAGTAAACATATTAGCAGAAATAATGTTTTATGAGCTAGTTTATGAATCCCTTCCCCTGTCATTTCAAATGAGCAGTGGAAGGTCTTCAGCTGAGATTTTTATGTTTGGATGGTGGAAAACATCATTATTTCCTCTTCCCAAACAGAAAGATGACATAACTAAATATTATGTCATCGAGAAAGTCGTGACATATTTTTCTATGCAAAAATGCATCATGACTTTCCCAACAACCCAGAGTCTGTATTTTATTTTATTTTTTAATCTGCCAGAGGGTGTATGCACTCATTGAGGAGAGAGAGAGAAAGAGAGAAGAGGAAGAGAGAGAAGAGAGAGAGAGAGCACTTTCCTCCATAGAGTATGATCATGCTGTAATCCCTTGTCCATTTCTCCCTCTTTTTAGGATTTTTGGGCACACACACATTTTTGTCTGGCATGTTTTTCAAGCTGCCAGGTCAGGACAAAAACCACAGTCAGTCATGTAGCTTCCAGTCACTTGGGTACTGGCTGGCTTGAGCCTCTATTTTAATTAGTTTAAGCAATTCTAATTTAAAGGAGGGTTACAGTTTTGGATAAAGCTGTAACATACAAGCAATGTTTTTAAACTGTGTATTACCAGCAGTTTATTGCCCTAAACAATTAGGGAAAAAAGTGTGTGTGTGTGTGTGTGTGTATATATATATTTATATTACATAAGAAAAGGACATTGTGGGGCTAGAAGGTAGCATAGTGATTAAAGGCACTGTACTCCCAAATAATCGACTGCAGTTTGAGTCCTGGAACTGGGGGGCTTGAAGTTCAGGCCAGGCATATGTGTGTTCATGCCCAGAGTCCCAAGAGGAGAATGGAGAAGAAGGGATTGCAGCATGGCCACTGCCCTGGGGAGTGATTTCTCACTGTCTTTCTCAAGGTCTCTCTCTGTCTTTCCAGTGAGTGCACACACCCTATAACTAAAATCTCTTTAAAGAAAAAAAGAAGGCATTGTAATATCATGTATGCAGGTTGTTATTGATAGAAAGATGACAGAGGGAGATCACTCAAGAAATTTCAAATTTGGAGGTAAAAATGTCTTAAAGCTGGAACCATTAAATATGAGGCTGCTTCAAAAAGTTTGTGAGAAAATGGAGTTTATTTTGGTGCAAAAATTGTGAAATCCATGCATAGCTTTTTACATAATTCATATCTCCCATAAATTTCTTAAAGATCCTGTGTACTGCTACAGTGCCTGATTAGAGAATAAACTCAAGTGGATCTTAAGGAGTAAAGAGTATGTTGCAACTAATACAATAACACCATCCTTACTGACATTTTGGTACAACAAGTTGAATTAATGTCTTTTGATATAGCTATACATTGCATTGTTCATTCAGAAATAGATATTTAACATTTGAACAGAGACTATTATATATAAGTATATATATAAATATATTTTCCTCCACTGTTTGCGCAATAGGGGGAGAAGTGAAACATTGCAAACAGGAGGATGGCAGCAGGCTTCTTAAATTCTGTGCTAAAACCTGATTCTTGAAGATCTGTCCCATTTTATGCAAAGCTCTCACCGTGTGGTAGTTTTAAAAACAGTTTGAGCGGAGCAGCTGCTATTTACACTTACACTGACAGCCAGATCCTTCCTTTCCTTAGTTCTGTTTACTGCTTTCTCCTGCTTGCGATGTAACATTGTCACAGGATGTATAGCAATGCTACATCAAAAGAAGTGGCAAGTGAAGACACTCTGATATGTAGTTAAAATGTGTATATCATGCCACAAAAGCTTTGTGAGTGAGGACCCAAGAATGAATGAATAAATGGATCCATGAATTGAAATACACGTGAGAGTCAGAAACAATGACAAATCTATAGTTAAATCCTTTATAGCAGATGTCTTAGAGTCAACAGGTTTAAGAAAAATAGAGATTTAGGATCAGAAAAGCATATGAATAAGATTGTAGTCGTTTTGACCAGTTTGTGAGAGTAAAAACTCACAAGCTTCTCATCTCCACGGTGGGACAGACTGCCTAAGTGAACAAGAAGCAGGTGCACCAAGCTGTGGTGGAAAGAGCAATCCCAACAGGACCCAGTCAGTCTTCCCTTCTACGCCCTTAGTAGCAATAGTGACTGATGTTACCTCATTTCCAGGGGAGATGAATAAGATGCTCTAGTGCTCTTCTTCTCCCCAGAGAGAGTTTAAGCTGGCTTTTATTTCTAAGTATTGTGCTACTTGGCTCTCCACCTGCCCCCGCCCCCTTTTTTAAAATTTTGCTTTGTTTCGTTTTGTTCCACAACTGAAGGAACACACTAACTTCAACAAATACTTTCATTTCCTCATTTCATTTTTTTAAAAGAATTATTTATTTTTATTTTATTTATTCCTTTCATTTATTTTAATTTGACCAGAGAAAGACACACAGAGAGAGCGGGAAAGTGAGAAAGGAAGCCAGCAGGTCCGAGACTTGTACTGTGGTTGGCCATGTGGGAGTGTCCGGGACAGACTGCCTAAGTGAACAAGAAGCAGGTGCACCAAGCTGTGGTGGAAAGAGCAATCCCAACAGGACCCAGTCAGTCTTCCCTTCTACG